AAACTGTAACTGCCCAGAGCAGCGCTTATAAATCAACCTAACATTTATAAGATCTCTTCTGACTTGTTTCTTTGTGATTCTTTTAAAATCTCATGTGTCATTTTATTCCTTAGTTTCCTACCAAAAAGAGGGGAGTGGTTTTTTTAAGAAGAAAAATAAGCTCAGCTTTATCTGCTATTTCAATTTTTAGAAATCTGGATTCATGTCGCTGATCAGCTCTTTCCCTTACTTCTCTAAATTGGGTATTTGGGATCTCTGAGATTAAGTTTTTTCACCTAGACGATGAGAGTACACAATCTTGGCATTTCCTAGCCCCAGGGTTTTGTAGCTGGGTACAACCCCCATCCCTCCCATTTGTGAGTGTGATTTTGACCTACCATGCCAAAACGTTTTGAACACTCCTGACTTAATATAACAGCCTAAAGCATTTAATGTGTTATTAACTGGTTTAACTATCCCTACTCTTCTGAAGTTTATTCTCTGCCCAGCTGTCAATGATTCATAGCAAATATTGACCACCTTGTTAGCCTGCTAAGTCTGGCTGTGCCCTGGGCATAGGCTCATACTTGGGTATACCTTGCCTTGCACTAGGCCCATGGACTGTGATTGTCAGATAAGGCTTCATGTCCATCCCTCTGTGCCCTTGCTCTCAGTCACTTTCCATGGCAGTTCTTCCACCTTATCCTGGCCCATTCCTACCTTGGTTCATTCCTCATGAGGCTGGGTAGGGGTTCCCTCCTGCTCCCGTGGTGCTGTGTATATACCTCTAGCAAAAAGCAATTATTCTTAAAAAGGCTTTTTTAAAAAGCAGTTACTCGGGCCGGCCCGGTGGCGCAATGGGTAGTGCGCCGCTTGGGAAGCGTGTCGGCGCTCCCGCCCGAGGTTTCGGATCCCACATACAGACTGGTTCCCGCTCACTGGCTGAGCGAGGCGCGGGACCGGCACCGAGGGTTGCGATCCCATTGCCAGTCCCTGGTCCGGTACGGGGGCAACACTTGAGGGTTGTGATCCGTTGCCGGACACGGAAAAAGACAAAAGACAAAAAAAAAAAAACAAAAAAAAAACAGTTACTCAACATGTTGTCTAGTGAGCAATACTATTAGTAATAAGAATACCATGGTCAATAGTGATTGTTTTTAAAAGGGAGTATGTTCTATCAGTTTGGAGGTAGCTGGGACCAGTTACAGCAGTTCTTAGAGACGAGTTTTCTTCAGGCAAGTGGAAATTTTGCTCTAGTCTTAAGTAATCCTGGTATCCATGGCTTTTTTTCTAGGAAGGTTGGCTCCTGACATAATAATGTAATTTTCAAAGTTAGGTGGTCATGCCTGTTGGTTTGCTGGGTATGGTCACAGTTTACATCTATTCCAGCATGATTATTAGAGTGCCCTTTCAGCATTTTCCTGGTTTAATAATGTGGTTACTTCTATGTCAATTGAATCTCTACTTCCACCTCTCCAGCTGAAGTTGGCTTCCCTTCACTGGGTCACCCCTATAGGTTCATAGTAGGGTGTATTGTACACAGCATAAGCGCTACAGTGAAGAGGCAATGACCTGAGCACTTTGGGTTTTTTGTTCATTGTAACCCATTTCCTGACACAAAGATTGCATGAAAAGGAAAAGGAATGCTAAATTAGTAGGATCAGAACTTAAGCGGAAACCAGCATATTTCCTTCCTTATCCACACTCTCCCTAGGATTACCTTTGACTTACAGGTTACAGTGCAATCCCCTTGTATTTCTAAGGTGTTTTTTTGTTTTTGGTTTTTATAGCTCATTTAACAGACACTGGGTTACTGATGATTTTATCAGTGATCGATTCAACAATGACAGCCAAGCCTTCAGCCTTAAAGAGACAGAGGCCAGTATTTACAGAAGGAGTTCCCTTAACATCCTGCCAGTTACTGGATAAGAGCTAAATGACAGCACAAACTAATAGGAGGATTCCAAGGAGTTCCTTGGATGGGTGCTATCTGGGGCCATTTAAAAATCCAGATCTGGGCCGGCCCGTGGCTCACTCGGTAGAGTGCGGTGCTGATAACACCAAGGCCCCGGGTTCGGATCCCATATAGGGATGGCCAGTTCGCTCACTGGCTGAGCGTGGTGCTGACAACACCAAGTCAAGGGTTAAGATCCCCTTACCAGTCATCNAAAAATAAATAAATAAATAAAAAATAAAAATCCAGATCTGCACTGCTGGCTAGAATGGTGTATTAGTGGATGAAAGAAGATCCTGAACAAATGCTTTCTTCTGGAACTCATTAGTTCACCAAAGGCTTCACATTGATAATTCTAGCCCATATACCAATATATTTGGCCCTTATATCAATAAGGTACAAAGTGTAGAAAGTAACTTGCTGTCCCAAAGAAAGCAAATGTACCATCACTCAACAGGACTATTTCATTGTAAACCATGAAAGGGATCCTGTTTTTCTTGCTCACTATTTCATCCCCAGGCCTGTCGTGGTGCCTGCAGTGCTTGTTTAATGAATTATCTTTAAGTATCAGTTTTGTGACCTTTAAGTCTACTGGCTGTAGTTTTGTGAGCTGTAAGTCTACAAACCTATGAGGTGTTGGTTGTTTGGCTGTGTTTTAACTCTGGCCATAGCACTAAGACAAAAAGTTCTGTTTTACTGAGCTTAAAGAGAATTGAACATTGATTATGTTTCACTACAAACATTATGGCATTGCTGGCTGGTTAGCTCAGTTGGTTAAATGTGATGCTAGTAACACCAAGGTCAAGGTCAAGGGTTCAGATCCCAGTACAGCCCAGCTGCCAAAAACAGAAACAAAAACAAACATTATGGTATTGATAACACCAAGGTCTGGGGTTTGATCCCTGTATGGCCAGCTGCCAAAACAAAACAAAACAAAAAACAAACCGAAAAGAACAAAACATTATGGCAGGACTAAAACCATCTTGGGAGTGTGTTGTAGAAAAGAAAGTTGATTGATCAGTCAGAATAGGCTGCCAAGAGCCTCATGTTGCTTTAAGAGTTATAACTAAGGCCGGCCCGTGGCTCGCTCGGGTGAGTGCGGTGCTGATAACACCAAGGCCACGGGTTCGGATCCTATATAGGGATGGCCGGTTGGCTCACTGGCTGAGTGTGGTGTTGAGAACACCAAGCCAAGGGTTGAGATCCCCTTACCGGTCATCTTTAAAAAAAAAAAAAAGAGTTATAACTAATCCAAAGTGGCAATTCATATAACTCTAGAGACTTCAGGTAAATTGCTACTGTAAACAACGTTAGCTGATTAGAGCCCTGCCATTTTACAGCCTGTAGCTCAATCACCAATCATTCAAAAAAATTTTTATACTTGGTTTTACAACATGCAGATACATGCACATACACATATGCACAATACAGACATATTTGCGAGAACATGCATATATACACACAATAAATAC